CCCCAGAAAAAGGCTTGCAGCGCAGCCGGCCATTCGATCAACCGCCGTCTTCGGAATGCAAGACAAGCTGAGCCATGTACCTATTCGCGACTGGGTAATTACCGAGGCCCTGCTCCTATGTACACCACTGTACTCCACATCGTTTCTTTCCTTGTGACTTATCTACGATGTACATAGCCATGCCAGGGACATACCGCCTGCCGAGAGCCTCAAGACGTCGACGTCACTGTGGTCCAGTGCAATCGCTAATCTGGTTCGACCCGAAGCCACCTCGTCGCGTCTCGAAGCAAGCAATTGACTCGAGTTCCGCTGGGTACTCGCCCAGGATCTGCATTTTCTTGGCCAAAGTCTCTCTCAAGTTGTTCCGAACGGACAAGGGCGATGCTAGTATCAGAGTCCTGTAACCGTCTGCCTGATAATGTCCTCGGCGGCTTTTCCCATCGAACCACTCTTTCAGCCGCCTCAGCTCAAATGCTCGACTCCCGTCAGCTCAGTCTGGAACTTCACCGACCACTCTATTGCTGCACCCTTCGTCACAGCTGCCCGGCTACTTGATAGCTGTCTTGGGCCTATGTCAAACCGCCGAACCCTCAGGAGAGTACTGCAGAGTACTCCGGAGCTTTCGCGTATGTTAAATTGCTGAGGCTTCAGACGACGAATCACAGTGGCCTTGGTCGGCGTATATACCGGTCGTTTTCCCACAACACCAGGCACCGCTAAAGCTTCACAACCACTTAGGTAAGGCTCGGCCTTTAACTCAGTCGGTCCCCACACTTGCACCAATAAGGAAAACACAGAAGGGCATACCGTACGAGAACAGCAAACTGATTCCGCCGGCTCAGCCTATTTTGGTGCGATTTCACCGCCACCAAAGCCAGGCTGCAATATTGGTTGGCGACTCTGGGCTGTGCTTGCGAAGGAAATATGATCTCGTTCCGGTTTTCGTCAGTCTTGGGTGTCCCTGGAACGGTCTGTTTGTCACAGTAGGAAAAGGTGCGTCAGAACCATACCATCCCGTAACAGCAATTGCTAGGTGTGTCCTAGTAAACTGACCTCAGGGCTTCACCTAGACCACATGGCATGCTGGCATGCTCCAATAAGCATGCAGTTACACAATGCCGAGCCAACGTATTGTCCAGCATATCACCATGGAGGACCCTGCAGCAAACTTTGACTTGTATCGATGCTCCGGTCGATATGCGCCCGAACCATGAGCTTGCTAGCCGAGAATCCCAAGGGCGCTGTCACTTCCGGACTAACCGTCCGCTAAGCCGCGAGTCCCACCAGCCTCAGCGCTGTTCTCGACAGAACCCTTTTGCGAGCCCTTAACCCACACAAATCCTAAGCCACTGACACTTGATCCAAAAACGATCGAGTGGATTTCGCAACCAGACGGTGCTAGGCAATTAAGTAGGGCCACTACGCGAACCACGAAAGCAGCCCATTTCTCTCCAACTACCACGCTTTGACTTGGACAAAGTTTTTGTTTTTCTTCTGGATCACGGAGGCGTTCATCCCCCCCCTCTCACTCGTCTCGTCCAGTGAAAGGACGGCTTATACAGAGTGAGTATCCTGGACTGAAATCGGGGCTCGCACACTTGCCACTGCAACCTGCATCCACCTGGCATGCTTAACGTCGGTCACCGCTTCAGGCCTGCGTTTTATGTCGATGACAGGTCGACCAGGCTTCCCATCGAGTCGGTGTTTACCGATGGGAAGGAATGCAGGGGCTATCATGACCTCTGATTGGTCTTCTCATCACCCTCGTCACGTTTTGTTACACCAATCATTGAGGAGGATTGGATACCTATTGGGGCAATGTTACCCTGTCCAGCCTCCGTTGCCGCAACGGTGGGCCTTTGCCAGCGGGACTTGAGGACCACATTGAGGTTCTAGCTTCCGCTGCTTCCTCCGTCTGTCTTGGCTCGGGCTAGCTACGAAATGCTCGGCAGGTGCTTGTCGGAACTGTGGCTTCATCTGCTGCTGTTGGCAACGGCCGGGGAGTACATTATTTGTCTCCCCCAAACCATCAGCACCACGCCTGAGGCAGCCGAAGGACTACCGACTTGCACGCAAATACCCATCACACGTGGATGCTAAGGTTTCAGGATGAAGAGCGTAATGCAACATTGGGGGGTACGTTGCGTGCGACTTGATTTGCCCAATATTGGGGGGCTGTTTCTCTTCCTTACGGCTATCAAATGACGCTGGCTGGCCATAGGAGCCCGACGTCGCCGTCCGAGTCAAGCTCCTGCCGATCGGGCGACTACCACTAACTAGCCTCACCCGCCAATTGAAGGGACCGCTAGAGAAAATGGTCCATGGCTGCGGGGATTCTTGTAATTTCCGTCTGGTATAACGGATGCTCGTCCGTTTTGTTGGGTCTCTTTCCCGAGACACCAAAGGCTTTTACCTCCCCTATGCCTTCACATTACCGCCTAGAGGCCCAAGCTTGGGGGATCATCCCAGAAGGCATAACTCAATCTTTCTACTGGCACAAGCATATCACCATCTTGACCGGTAAGTCATGCAAGGACAAGCTGAGAGTCGTCTTGACACGGGAAGCTTCTGTATGGGGCCCGGGGAAAATATATTTCTGACATGGCAGGGCCAGTTAATATACTTTGACTTTGAGACCTGACCAGGCGGTTCCGATTTCCCCAAGGTTACACTAGTCTCGATACCCCAAGGAGAACACTCCGAGTGATGTCCGCAATGGCCTCCCTAGGTGGCTTGCGACGACCATCCTGCGCCGTGTGCTGCTTTCTGATACCGCCAGGCCCTACCTAACTAATAGGTACGACGATCGCAATATCCTCTGATCGACTTGACTTGGAGTTTATAGTACATTGTGTGGCACTTTGAACTGGTGACGTATGTTGTCCTCTTCACATGCGCGTATGCGACTATCGTTCAACGGGCAATCAAAGCAGAGTTGCAAGGGTGCCTTACGATGTCCTCAATGAACAAGACTACTGGACCTTGGTAGCCACAGACTATTTTCTGTTTCACCCAAATTGGGTTTTTCTTTATTTCCTATCAGAAACCCCGTTTTGCTTTCGCTCTCCGCATTAGGATCAAGTCAGGGGTCCAACATGCGTTTTGGGCTTCGGCCGGCTTCGCGACGTTTGGCGTTCGGCCATCGAGGCGCCTTATCACAGAGCCGTTCTCGACCGTTTATCGAACCCGTCAACGGACATACTGCGGAGTCACCCACTGAATCTGCCCCGGGCCGACCCCGAGTCTCCCCCGCGCAGGCGGAATGTGTTTGTGACAGTGGTCATACCCGCCCTGCCACTCCCAGGATAATATGTTTGTGTCGGTCTCGAACCGGTCGATATGTGCGATCATCTTGTGCCGAGATAGGATGAGCGAGTACGAGCATCGACCTCATGGGTATGCAGGCCGCATGACCTCGGCATCTGTGATGTTTCATTGACTTTGCATTGTGTTGGGCGTACTTGCCTTGTAGGGCAGAGTGAGGTTATTGTCCAATGTAACTTGGACAAAGCATTGGCTCGACGTTGGCGCATTGATGGACACGGGGGCCACCGACCACCCTTGCGATCTGGCCACGCCGAGATCCTAACGCTGCTCCCTGCGTTTGCCATCTCCGACATCCACAAGAGAGGTCGCCGTCACTCACCTCGGGAGAGTCAGGTCGATGGGATTCGAAGCCGAGCCTCCTCAAGGATTGCAACTATGCCGGGGGATTCCGTACCGTGGCATAATGCGGTATTGGTTGACATCCCCCAGAAGTGATACTGATAAAGTGGGATTGGAGCATCTTGAAGAGCTACGCGTCGCCCTGCGCAGCAAACGCCGCGAGCTAGCCAGCCGTTATCGAGCAAACCATACGGCGCGGCGGGTGCCGTTCGACTTGGCCAACGTCGGAGAGATGAGGGTTGAGGTGGCACGACCCCCCCCCCCTCCTCTGCCGTGTCTCACACTAGGTTTGGATGTGCATACCGCATAAAGGCCTCTTGACTGCCCCTTTGACGTGAATGCTCTCTTCCATGACCGAGATTGTTCTTAGCTACGTTTTTCAGCAACAACCCGCCCATTTGCGGCAGACATCGTATCCATGAGGTGACGGCAGGTGGACAGCCTCAAGCTTGTGACACATACTTATGGACGCTACACGACGGGGAGTGGGGCAATGTCATGTTCCTTTTCAACTACCTATGTTCGTTTGGCAGGTTCGGCGAAGGAAAGGGGTGGGTTTCGCCGTTCCAAGAGAGCCCGGCTGGGCCGTATTCTGGAGAACCTTCGGCGTCGGCGGGTCGGCCTAGATGAGACCTTTTTCCCTGTGAGCCCGCGCCGCATCTGGGCCACTCTTTCTAAACCAGGGGATCGCCGGATAAGGTAAACAAACTACGTGATTATTGTTTTGTCCTCCACCACCAATTATGGAATCGTGGGCAAGTACAAGCGCCCCCTCCCTTCCCAGAAAGCATATCAGGAAAGCCAAATCACCTACACCCCCGCAGCCGCCCCCCCTCTTTCTCTCTCACACACACACTTACTCCCCTCCTATCATGCTCCCTCTTCCCCTAATCATAATGACGGTTGCCGCCGCCGACGAAGTAAACGAAATAAGCAAAGTATTAAGCGTAACGGAAGGGGGTGGGGGGTATCTACATGTAGCCCGTGATGCCGTCCAGAAAAGAAAAGAAAAAAAAGCCGCTACTGGATACGCTCATTTGTACAGTGTGCTTTGTGTGAAGACCCTTGTGGTGATTGGTGTTGGTATTTCGCGGACGTCATGCTCGTTTCCAGCCTCTTCATCGTTATTGCTCTCTCCTGAATTGGTATCGAAATAATCCCCCCCTCCCCAACTGAACCCCCCCCTCTAATGAGGATAACAGATAAGACAGAAAAAGCAATAGTATCATGGAGCGGGGAAAACAGGAAATTCAAGAAATTTGAGATAGCCAGCGCCTCGCCATGCCCGCCCTGCATTGCTGTGCTACGACTCCCCATGCGCCGTCGATCACATCTCATCGTCTGGGCAGGTTGTTAGCCCGGTATGCAGACGCCCCCCCCGTGTTCCATCCCTGGTTGACGCTGTTCTTGACAATTAGCGCCGCAGCCGCCGCAGCGGCCTGGCGCTCTTTTTGGCGATGTCTCTCCCGGAGGTAGTTGGCTGCTTCAGGCCTCATGCGGAGGATGCGGAGGATCATGTCGTCGCTGGGATCCGCCTGGGCCTCCTTGCGCTTCTCCTCCTTGGCCTTCCTCATTGTGCCCAAGTTGCGGCTCATCATGATGCTCTTGCCGCGTCGGATAGTGCCCATGCTGGCAAAAGCACCTGGCCCACCGCTAAAGGTCGGCCCGAATGTTGCAGGCGCCGAAAGACGGTTTTCGTGCTTCTCCTGGAGCAGCATCTGAGTCGCGCGCTGGGCGTTGGCAGCCGCCATGCGCTCAGACTCCCGAATCAGATTGTCGGTCTGCTCAAAGTAGAAGAAATTCAGGGCTGCCAGTTCATGCCACTTGGGAGACTTCAGAACGTCCTGCGGCACACCCAGCTGCTCTCCGGAGTCGTCCTTCGCATTGAAGAACTCGAACAGTGAGTTGAGCCACTGGTAGACAATATCAAGCTCCTTTTGGGACAAGGGCCTTTGCGAAGATGGCTTTTCGGACAGGGGTGGTACCAACAGGTGCTCAATAGCCTGGAGGACCTCCTTCCACAAACGTGTCATGACCGCCAACATCGTAGCGTCCGTCAGAGTTTGCTTCATGATGGCGAAATTTTCGTCAAAGTAGTGGAATAGCGGCTGCAAAGCGCCTTCAATATCGCTGGCCGTCGTGACGGTTGGCATCGTTGAAGCTCTCTTCTTCCACAGGCCGGCCACTTGAGAGCCGATGCCACCACCTTTGACCAAGCTTCGCAGGGTCTCGTGAGAGATTGTGGCGCTGATCTGAGCCCGGAGCTGGGGTGTCGGTCAGTAACGAATCCATACCCTAACGTCAATGAACGTACCTTATCGGTGATCTTGCGAACCATATCTCTCTCCGTTCTCTTCAAGTGTCGGAACGCCTTTCCAAAGTAAAACTGGATGTCGTCTCGCTCGCCTTCCATACTCACACGCAGCAGAATCCTGCCTTGCGTGTCCAAATCGAGCCAGTACTCGCGGGGCAAATAGTCACTGAAGTGAATGGGGTCGACCTTGAGCGAGGTGCGACCGACAAAGTCATGATCGCCAAAGGTGTCGTAGTCCCAGATGGTGGCGATGATGTTAAGGGGGCTCGAGACTGTGATGTCGACGGACTCGTCCCAGCGGGGGTTCAAGCTCTTATGAATAATGCGTGTCTTATAAAGACGCTTCTGGTATTCGTCTCCAAGAACCACGTAGGGGTCGCTGAAACCCCCGGGATCGCAGGCTTTGAGGTCTTCGGCCTCTACCACTTTGATCGTGAAGACGTATTTGTTAGGCCGTTTGGCTTGCTGCTTTCCAAGACCTTCGGCTCTTCGCAACACTTCAGCACACGCATCAACGTTCATAGCCTTTTCCAGCTTATCAAGCTCTTGCATGGCATGCTCGATGTTGTTGAGTTTGACAAAAGACTGACACATATTAGCAAATCGACATGGATTCAGGAGAATGTACAAACCTCGGGAAGGAACTGGAAGGGCTCAGGGGCGTCCTTCGTGTTCCAGGCGTCTCGAGCATATTGGGCGTACTGCATGAACTTCTCTTGAGCTGTTTTGTTCGCGGCGATCTCTTGTGCCGTGGGCCGGTCCATCTCTTTCGCAAAGCGTTTCTCGAGCTCATCGCAGTACTGTCCGATGCCAGCCGCGTAGGATCGTGCCAGCGCCGTCATGAATCTAGCATGGTGGACATCGCTGTCCCACTCGAGCTGGTAGACCTGTTCCATGGTTTGATGGAACATCAAGAATATATCAATGACGGAAGTACTGTGCCGCTCGGCATCCGTAGGTATTCTGTTTGGGTCGTTGGTACGAACTTGGAACGAATCTTGACTGATGGCACCATCGACTACTTCCACCATAACGTTCTCTGCGTTGCGAACCCATCGCCAAACAAAGTCCACAAGCAGTTCCTCGATCTGGAATTCGAAAGGCTTGTCCGGCAATGCGGCATGGTGCGTGCGCCGCATTTCGACCAGCTCCTTGTAGAGATCAAAGCCATCCTGCATGTTGATTTCCATGTCCTTCTCCTTGGCGACCGCAATTGTCCGCTCAATGATGTGTTGGGCATCCCGCTCGTAGCTAGGAAACATGACCTCCACCAAGATCTGCCATATTTTGACGCCCATAATCTCTGGAAGATTTTTGTACCGCTTCTGGATCTTATTGGAAAGCTTGGTGACCGCCCGTCCGAGTTCAACAACGTGGGTAAACTCCCATTCCGAGGCATGGTTAGGTAGTTTCTCGTGGACAAAGACGTCGTAGGCGTCGGTTGCGGCACGTCGCAAACCTTCGGTAAGATGCACAGCGAACTCCTGGACCTGCTCGGGCCTTGCTGGAAATGCAGGGTCGGATTGAACATGGTCCTCCAGCAGAGTCATGACCGACCCGATGTTTGGTGGTTTGGGACCGTAGCAGTTGAGCATCAAGTTGTAAAGATCCCGCAGCAGAGCATCGTAGAGACTGTTCAGCGTCTGCTGATATACGGCAAAATCGTGCATCGTCCAGCGGCTTTGGTCGATATCGCGCAGACCGATGTTGTATTGGTACAAGTGTGGCGCTTTCTTCCTCTCCGGTTCCGATGACTTTGCGTTGTCCATGACCACAAGGAGATCATCGGCCAGAATCTCTCCGTCAAGAAACTTCTTGACGGCTACCTCAATGAAGGCAATGAGTCTTGAGAACTGCGGCAGCCGCCAGTAGACGCTTAGCTCCATGAGGAGATCCTTAGACGGCTGCGAGAGTGGGGTGTATTCCGCCGCCGGATCAGCATGCAACTGATCGTAAGTCATGCAGTCTTTCAGAATGGCCTTGTAGAAAGCCCTAGAGTCGTTGGGGACAAAAGTGTAAACAACCTCGTCGAAGGCCTGATTCGAATCATCGAGAGACAAAGAACCAATGGAACTGTCAAAGTTCATAATGGATCCATCAGGGCTGGAGATCGATTTGCTGATTTCAGAGTACGACTGCTCTTCCCCAAAGAAGGTGGACTGAGGCCGTCCAGGGAGCGATTTGTCCGCTCCTGCCGTCGACGTCTTGGCCAGCTCGGGTTTGACCGTCAGTATCTCTAAAATGATTTGGGAAAGATGCGGTGCTTCGGCTCTCTTCCATTCTTGAAAAGCGTCTTCGAGATCGAAGTCCTGGCTTCTTAGAGCGCCGGGCGCATCCGAGGCCAGCCTTTGCTGGTAGTTCTTCATGTCCTTGATGGCGTTCTCTTCGGTCCAAACTTGGCGGTTGGCCTCGAGATCAGCCTGCACTTCGGAATTGGATCGACCAAATATGCGCGCTACAGTAAGAACCATCGGCATATCCTTAATATCGTAGCTCAAGGGGGCGGGGACCTCAATGTAACTACCTCCATCCCCGGCGGAATCGAGAGACAGGTTCTGGTCTCTAGTAAGTAGTTTATTCTCCAGTGTGTGCAACCGGCTCATCAGCTCGGGCCGGTCTCTGTCGTGCCCCTGATCTCGAAGAGTCTGAGCCACTAGCCTGATGAACATAGCCATGTGCCTGTCGGCTGTTTCTTTCCATGAATCATCCGTTGCCGATGTTAACTGAGCGTACTTCTGGTTGGCCTTGGTGGCAGACGAGTAAAACATGAGGACGTAAGGCTCAAGCTTGCGATCCTTCTCGACCGACTTTTGAAAATTCTTATCGGTGAATGCAGTGTATGCCTCAGCGAAGCTTCGCTTGAGAGCCGAGTCGTTGAAACCTTGCATAGGTTCCTTGCCTGTTAGAACGTTCTTAAGCCTCTTTTCCAGGGGTTTTTGGAAGCCGTGAGGCAACTTGATGCTGTTGGAGCCCGACGAGACAAATTGGCCGACCAGTTCAGTAACACTAGTGTGCGATCTCTGCGCGGGCTTCGGTGCGGCGACATATTGCTTTCGTTTCTGTCTTGGTTGGAGAAGGTAGTTGAGGTAGGCGACACGTAATGCAAAGGTGTAGGCGTCGTCGTGGCTGACAACGGTGATGTTGCCCCTAGATGCTCCTCGCGGTCTCATGCTGATTCGATTGCTGTTCGGGCGACGGCCCGGCATCCACGAGCTTCTGGACGCGGACGACATTGTCGCTGATCGTAACGGGTCCGGATATACGTGGGGTCGACGATCGGACGTGGACGACAACGGGGCTTGGATTTATCGGAGAGCTGTCATTCTCGTACCAGCGCAGAATGGCCAGCTATGTAGTCGGCGATGTGTCGACTGTCACCTTTTGTGAAGTGACCGGTCAGGAGTCTCGTGAAGGGGGTTTCTCGGCACGGAAGGGAGAACGGCTAGCTAGTCGGCCGGTGGTTAGAGGGGGTGAAGGTTATCGTGAATGTGGCCGCGGGTGTGGAAGGTGGTGGAGGTCAAGCAGCCGCTTGGGGACCCTCAGAAGGTTTGGGGGGTTGATGTTTGGTCCAGCAGGTGACACACGTCATTGGCAGAAAAGGAGACACGGTGACTACCGTGACCCTTGTACTGTTCAGGAAAAGGTGGCACGGTGGTACCTGCGGCCCTGCGCGGCGCTAAGCGGCCCCAGTCAGAGATAGCTATCTCTCTAGGGAGTCGAGGGGTCCTCACAGGGGGCCTATGGAAACAGGATAATACGTATATCGGGTATCGATGATGCCTGACGGGGCCGGACCACTGGTCACTGCACTTCTAGCTTGACACAATGATAGCTCAGTCTGCCACTTGGGTGCTTTGACGAGCGAACAGATGTCAAAAAGTGCAGTGTATCAGTGGCTTGCTTCTTGTGACAGAAGCATGGGCTCACGGTGCGACGGAGCTAAAGAAGCAGGGCACAATAGAGCGTACCAGCCAGAGCAGAGCATCAACATGGTCGGTCTGTCAACTAAATACTAGCCAAGATGGGGGTGGCTGCTTGACCTTTTTTCACTTGCCCTGTTCCTTCGGGCGATATGCTACTTCTAGCTCTTATAGTCATGCCTTGAACTCGATGTTCTTGACTGTTCTGGTAGCCACTTGCCCGAAATACAATCAAGCGACAATAAGGTGGACGGGGAGACAACATCGCCGGCCATGTGTTTCCACGCAATGTTTCTCGGCCATTTGTTTTGGCTTGTCGGTCTTTTCTTTCAATTCCTACATTCTCCAGTACTTCTCTTTCAAAAGCCCAAGAGCATCTCCGTGGTCATCCATGCCGGCGGAATTAGTGGTTTGTCTGGGGCGGCCTGAACGCGCATGCCCGATCTGTCGTGCTTAGCTTCTCATTTCCCGGCAAATCGACGATACGTAGCAATGGACGACCCGACTCTCAAGCCGCTGTACGGAGTACACTCACTACCTACATAGACTGCAAGCGCCAGCGTTTGCTGTGCCCTAATGTCCGTCCGTCCCAGTTTTCACCCAAGGGGGTGTGCCCCTTGTCCGCCGCTGGGGAACTGGGGATTGCATGGTTCATTGTTTATCTCACACGGCCGAGTCTGAATGCGTGAGCCGTAACAAGTCAAAAGGGCGAGATTGCTCAAAGCAACAGCGGGTTCATGTTGTAGGGAGCAAGTGATGTCCGCTGGCAAGCCATGAGTTCACGGCCGCATCCCCACTACTCATAGACACCTAGTTGCAATGATAGGTCCTTGAGAGCGTTTCCTGTGGAAAGCGAAGAACATGAATAACAAAATTGCTGGGAAGTCGAGGAATGACCAATTTGTTGGGATTTGAAGGAGCGAGCGCATCACTTGTTAATAAGCCGCCGCAGGAATGATCTTAGCTTCGCATCGACCAGACGGTCGTGCAGATGACGCCTGATGACAGACTGTGGCCGTTGACATTTGCGTTGCTGGAGGGGTGTTTTGAAACGGTTCGCTCTTTTTTATCCTTCCCCCGGTCAAGAACCGTAGTATCGGTTAGAGTTTGACAGACCTCAAGGGGAGAGCCTGTCTGCTCTTTGGAAGAGCAGACGAAAAAGAAGAAAGCCTTAGGACAATGAATCACACAAAGGCTAAACCCAAAGCCAAAGTGATTGAATCGGGTTCACAGACACAAAGTCTCTTCTGCTTCTTTGCATGCCTTTTCGACGATGCTCGAGATCCTGGAAGAGGATCAGCGATTGACTTTCAAACGGTCTGGCTTGACTAGTGTGTAGGAAGCTTCTCTCCAAGACCCGCCACCCTCGACCGCTACCTACCCCTTTTCTTGATACAGCGCAGAGATATATGTATGTATTGTCGGAAGGCTGCAGCACGTGCCGGTACAGGTTGATTCCCGATTCTCAGTTTTCTGGAACTCCAGACCAGATCAGACTAGGCTCAGAAGCAAGAGATCCATGATACGTGAAATCCCGGGTTTGAGAAACAAGCAAGGTCGTATTTCCACGGCGCAAGGTTCGGACGGACACCCTCAGAGTGTCGGGACAGGAGCTTGCCGTGCTGGCTTCGCTTCCCCAAGTTGAGAGGAGCAAACACGGCCAAAGGGCGAAGAGGTGCGGAGGCAGAAATGGCCAAACATATCATGTAGCTTGCGCGCCTGTCGTCGTCGAAGATGAGGAGATGAGGTACGCGCCTTGCGCAAAATGGGCTAAGCAGTTGGTGGTGTGGTGATCCCATGCGCTTTGGCTTACTGTCAAGGAACGTCTGGTTGTGTGCTGCCTGACCCCACCAAAAGACCGCCAATGATGGGGAATCAGAGAGGCCGCCGTGCTAAGGGGTCGTGGATGCTGTTCAATTCCCCAAACCGTACATAGTATACTAGGTAGGTAGGCACATGAAACTCGAAGTGAGAAAGAAAATGGAGCGTGCTTGATGCTGGTGTGGGATGAAGCGAACCGGCAAGGGTGCTTCACCAGTGCTCAGCAAAACTCGATCCGCGTACTTACATGCCATGGCCGGGATGATGGCGACCGCGTGCCATTTTCTCCATGGAATAATTCATCGTACAGAACCATCGCACCAGAATGGTTCTGTGAGAAATATTGGGTGGATTGAGGCCGATGGGCATGGGTCGGAATAAAAATGAATCGGCGCCAATCTCGTCTTTGCCCACCTTGAAGTGGGCTTGATTCGACGTCACAACAGGGGAGGGGACTTTGCATCGTCCATGCAAAGAGCGACCTACCCAGGAGGTGGGAGGTGGGTAGGCAGGTAGGTCCCTACCCAGGTGCCTACATGGTAGCCACATCTGTATGTACCTAGTCCACTATGTAGTGTACATAGCAGGGCCGAAGCCTCTCTGTTCCAGCGCATGGTGCCTTACTGATTCAGACGAGGTCGCATTGTACCTGACCTTACTTTTCACCTACAGTACGGAGTACTCCAGAGCAGGAAACGGCAAGCTGGGCCCAAAGAAGCCTGGACGGCTACCTAGGTACCTAGGTACCTACCTACCTGTAATTCACACTCCTGTATTCGTACTCTTGGTATATGTGACCTTCTGCTCGGAGTGATTAGCCGCGGCGAATCAAGTGGCCTAGACTTAATCGCGGGACCAGATGACTTACCTAGGTAGTACGACGACGACAACGACAGGAGGGGAAGTAGCAACGGCAGCAAAAGCAACAGGCCTCTGAGGCAGACGTGCCGCAACCTAGCAGTTCTTCCACCTCCGTCGATATCGCAACATTCAACATTTGACTCTTTAGTCATTCTCCTTCCACCATTCTACAACCACCACATTTTGCTGGCATTTTAGATCTCATTTTCCATTTCTTTCTCACCCCGTGGGCATTCGTCACCGTCCTCTCGCCGTCCTCAACCCCACCACTACCCCCTTCGCTCAGGCCGCTGGCGCCTTCAGCAGCGTCCTAAAGCTGGTTGCGCGCAGTCTACAGTCTTGTACCGCCAACCCCGTGGGTGTGGCTTGGCCTTGTCTTGCGTCGCCAAATGTCCACGATCCTGGCCAACTTGCGACCCCGCGCTGCGAAGCCCGACTACCATCTCAGAGGCGTCCCCTCCGCCTCACTCGCAACTCATTCCACCTCCATGAGCCGTTAACTTCCCGATCAATATCTCATCATGGGCATCGTTAGCAGCAAGCCTGAGGACGGGGCTGCCCTCTTTCTTAGAGACCAGAATCGACGTGCGATCTCCCACCCACCCCCCTCGTCTTGCTTGCCTGTTCTTGCATGCAGCCTTGCGCATTCACCTCCAGCTAATCCTTTCATACGCAGTATCCATAGCCTCTCTCGTCATTTCGAACCCGCGAAGGCGTTCGTCCATAAACATCGTTCCCAATGCTTTCCCTGCCACCAAAGTATCGGCTTCGCGCCCACTAGGCGACGGCAGTCCCATAGAATTTGTACAGGTTCGTCGGCGCAAACAGCGACACCCCTCCCCCCCCTTCGCCTCGAGCAGCGTGTGCTCATTTTTGCCTTTGCAGGATACCGAAGTCGTTACGAGCCCTGGTGGCCTCCCGAATTTTATAATAAAGCTCACCTGCGACGACGAGCTTGTCTTTAACTTTACATTCGTCATCCGCCAGGGACAGCAGTTCGTCACGAATGGCAGCGCCGACACCGTTGCTACGGTCGATACCCAAATCAGCGGGCTGACATACGTCTACGCCTCGACGCCGCGCGAGGTAGAAAACTTGGTAACAAGAGAGTTCCATGCGGACCCAAATCTACACAAGAACTCCAACGTCGAGTTGGTGGGCGACTTTGGCACCGGCGGCAACCCTTCGGTATCCTTCGAATGGACCTGGAAATGGAAGCCACCAAAGAATGTGGAAGATAGGGGCGGCGGATGGAGGAACACTTGCAGTGTATGTTGTTGGTCACCGAGCTCTTACCTGTCACATGTGCTAACCCTCTTTGCAGTTCGTCGAATATGATCCCCGCAACCACTGCCTGCACACTTTGGCTAGCTTCTCCTACTGGGTTGCGAGTAAGTCTTCACCTTTGTGACTCATTCGCTCACTGCCACTCACAATTTTACAGATCCAGCTTTGCCGCTCAGCCACCCTAACTCGCCGTCTCCTCCTTTCCTCTTGACCGCACCTCCCAAGATCCGAGTTGCCTCCTCTCAGTCTGTCGACTCTCGAATCAGCCACAGCGAACTGGAAGAACCCTCGTCGCCGCTGCCAGGCAATTTCTCTTCTACCACTATACTCCCTGGGCTACAATCTGCGCAGGAACCGATCAAGGTGGATGTCGCGTGCCCCAAACCAACCGATGATGTCCTCGTTCCAGACGACGGCCCGGTCTTCAGAGCGACAATAAAGGCATTGGAACAAAAGACGGGCAACATGCGGACGCAGATGAAGCGCGTGCTCAAGATGGCTAAGCAGGCGCATGAGGCGCAGGTAGAAGCCAACAAGAACTTCTCCGAATTCATCGACACCCTTCGCGAAGCTTCATCCACAAACGCCAATGCCGTGCAGCCGGCTATTGAACACTACTTTGACAAAATTGCCCGCGAAATCCTTTCGTACGAGCGAACAAACACGGTCAATCTCAAGCGCATTGTGATCGATCCGCTGGACAAGTTTTACACGGTCGATATTAAACAAGCCGAGTCGAAGAAACGGGATTTCGAGGAAGAAAGCAAGGACTACTATGCTTACGTCTCGAGATATCTTGGACAGCGCCATGACTCGGTCAAGGCTAAGAAACTGGCAGAAAGCGACTCCAAGTACCAGACGAAGCGCCGCAACTTTGAGCTCAAGCGATTTGACTACTCGAGCTTCATGCAGGATCTCCATGGTGGCAGGAAGGAGCAGGAAGTGCTTTCACACCTCACAAGGTATGCCGATGCTCAGACCAAAGGTTTTCTGGAGGCGGCCAAAAAGATCGACACTTTACTGCCACAACTGGAGGCGCTCTCGAGCGAAGTGCAAGAGGCCGACAAGGAGTATCAATACCAGAGGCGGGAACGGGAGGAGAAGAGAAGACTTCTCGAGAAGAGCAACCAGCCGTATAACGAGCCGGACCTTGGACCGGCGCCTGGTACCAGTGCTGGCCAAACCATGGCCTCAAATGGCAATGCACATGTCTCTGACAGCGATCTTGGCCGCGCCGACAGCACAGGATCGCAGCTGAAGATTGGGCTGTCCTCGGGCTCGAACCCTTCGGTGGCCATGGCATCTCCTGAGCTGACCAGGTCGCCCGGCAGCCTTGGCAATTCCTCGGTCGGAAGTCCTGCTCAAGCTTCGAAATTCAAGGGCATCCGTGACTTGGAAGAGAAAGACTACGGCCAGCTGTCTAGCGCCAGCAGCAGCGCCCAGCGCAAAGAGGGTCTGTTATGGTCTCTGAGCAAGGCTGGCAGCAACCATGTAGACCCGCGTAACTTGAACAAGCAGGGCTGGCATAAGTAAGTGCACCCAACCCGTTTAAGAAGTGGTAGTCATTCTGATCCGCAACAGGTTCTGGATTGTCCTAGACCAAGGCAAGCTCTCGGAGTATAGTAACTGGAAGCAGAGGCTGGATCTGCACAATGACCCCATTGACTTGAGGATGGCATCCGTCAGAGAGGCGCGCAATGCAGAGCGCCGGTTCTGCTTTGAAGTCATTACGCCCCAGTTCAAACGCGTATACCAAGCTACATCTGAAGAGGACATGAACAGTTGGATCACGGCCATTAATAACGCATTGCAAAGTGCGGTTGAGGGCCGCATTATGAGGGATAAGTCTGCTCCGAGTGATTCAGGTCATATTAAGAGAGACATTGGCTCCATCCTCACAGGCAAGAGCCCTTCCGTTGGGCACAACAGTCATCACACAAACTCGAACAGTGCACCACCCGTCCGCCGGATCACGGTTGGCGCTCGGCCCAGCACGCACAGGTCCACTAGTTCAACATACGACGAGAATCCCGACAAGCTACTGCAACTGCTTCGCGACAATGACCAAGGCAACTGCTGGTGCGCCGACTGCGGGTCGGGCACAAAGGTCGAATGGGTTTCAATCAACCTAGCCATCATTCTTTGCATCGAATGCAGTGGCATTCATCGCTCCCTTGGCACACATATCAGCAAAGTGCGATCTCTAACTCTGGATATCAACTCCTTTACCTCTGATATTGTCGAGCTCCTGCTTCTTGTTGGTAACAGGGTGTCGAACATGATTTGGGAAGCGAGGCTTGAACCCGGACTGAAGCCGACGCCTCAGGCAACGAGAGAGCAGCGGCTGAGGTTCATTACTGCTAAATACGTCGACAAGGCCTACGTAGAGCCGATCTCAGCGACTCTCTCGCGTTATGCAAACCCCGAAGATACCTTACTGGCGGGTATCAAGAAGAACGAAATTCAACAGGTAATCTATGCACTGGCTTTACGAGCCAACCCCAATGTCACAGACAGATCTCGCGGAACGCACGCCGTATTCTTGGCCCTTGCGGCTGCCGATCCCGCCTCGCCCTCTCCCACTCCGGGGCAGCCTCCGGAGACGGACAGAACGGTAACGTTCCCGGTGGCAGAGATGCTCCTTCAAAACGGAGCAGAAATACCAACGTCGATGCCGGCTTTCCCATTAAGCCGCAGCGCACAAATGTACATTGAAGAGAAGCGAGGACGGAATACGGGGGGGTTCTCGGGTGATGCAGTGGGATCACTGCCCGGCAACCCTAGCTCGAACGAAAAGCTCCAGCGGGAGAGGGACGCTCGGCTACAGAAGAGAGTGAGTGCAGGAGGACGTCTGGCTAAGAGCCCGATTCCGGAAAGGTAGCGACCCGCCTGTTTCGAGCGGCTGGGGCAGTTGAACATGTGCCTTGCTTTTGCAATGCACACGAGACGCAGGTCTTCTCTCGAAGTCCACTTATCGACGGATGGCTACGATTTTGAGTGTGGCGGTGGATGAAAACCGTCTTGGCACACTGGCTGGAAGGCAGAGAGAAAGGATCGGCGTACTTGAATGTCGTTACCAAAGGGTCTGTTGCGTTTCGAGGGCCTGGTATTTTGCTGGGCAAAGCCCGGTTCCATTGCACGGCACGAGGAGGATCACGAGGTCATGCCCTCACATGTAACACGTGAACTTTTTGATGACAGAAGTCCGGCGTGAAGAGGCACATTGGAATAGTCCTCGATTGGAAAATGCGAGGGTATGAAAGGCGGAGATGGCCATTGGTACGCGTGTTTGTCTGTGTGTATGGATAGTAATAGTAATGAAGAAATGAAGACAGAACAATGATGAACATTGTGCGGATATCAGCAAATTGCTCTATATCATTTCCGTGATATCTTACCTACAGAGCTGGTAAGAATCAAAACCGTAGAGGAAAAGGATAGAAACAAAATCGTCTCGGTGAGTCGGTGAGAGTATCGTTGCTCGTACTCAGCAGCA